TTCTTACCTACGCATCAAAACCACAACGATAGTTCATCAAGTTAGTGATATTTTAACCTTCAACAAGGATCGGGCGTAGTCACACTCGGTTCAACTAAAGTTGAAGAAACTGACACCCGCCAGCCACCTGTGTGCAAAGCACGTCGGAAGAATCAGTCTCGCGTAAGCGTACGCGTAATATTGGTCCGGGCCGCTTCATCCAACAATACGGCCGAACCAAAGTATGACATGCTGGTATGCAGTATGACTTGTATCGCCCATAACTCACTTGTGTTCTACTCGTGCATATAATATCTACGCATAAACCTGGCTCGGATGCCACTGTTGGGGAACGTAATAATTTCAAAAAAATTCCTACGCACACGCAAGATCATGGTGATGCATAGCAACGAGAGGGGAGAGTGTCGTCTACGTACCCTCGTAGACCGTAAGCGGAAGCGTTATCACAACTCGGTTGATGTAGTCGTACGTCTTCACGATCGACCGATCCTCGGTACCAAACGTACGGCACCTCCGCGTTCAGCACACGTTTAGCTCGGTGACGTCCCGCGAACTCACGATCCAGTATAGCTTCCGGGAAGAGCTTCGTCAGCACGACAGCGTGGTGACAGTGTTGATGAAGCTACCGACGCAGGGCTTCGCCTAAGCACCGCTACGATATGACCGAGGTGAATTATGATGGAGGAGGGCACCGCACACGGCTAAGAAACCAATGATCAATTGTTGTGTCTCCAATGGGTGCCCCCTCCCTGTATATAAAGGAGTGGAGGAAGGGGAGGGGGCGGCCTCCTATGGCGCGCCCCATGAGGAGTCCTAGTCCCATCGGGAGTAGGACTCCCCCCTTCCAAGTAGGAGTAGGAGAGGAGAAGGAAGGGAGAGAAGGAGAGAAGGAAAGCCCCCCCTCCTTGTCCAATTCGGACTAGAGGGGGAGGGGGTGCGCGGCTGCCCTGGCCGCCCCTCCTCTTCTCCCACTAAGGCCCATTAGGCCCAATATACTCCCCGGGGGGTTCCGGTAACCCTCGGTACTCCGATATATGTCCGAAACCTCCCGAAACACTTCCGGTCTCCGAACATAGTCGTCCAATATATCGATCTTTATGTCTCGACCATTTCGAGACTCCTCGTCATGTCCGTGATCATATCTGGGACTCCGAACTACCTTTGGTACATCAAAACACAAAAACTCATAATATCGATTGTCACAGAACTTTAAGCGTGCGGACCCTACGGGTTCGAGAACTATGTAGACATGACCGAGACACGTCTCCGGTCAATAACCAATAGCGGAACCTGGATGCTCATATTGGTTCCTACATATTCTACGAAGATCTTTATCGGTCAAACCGCATAACAACATACGTTGTTCCCTTTGCCATCGGTATGTTACTTGCCCGAGATTCGATCGTCGGTATCTCAATACCTAGTTCAATCTCGTTACCGGCAAGTCTCTTTACTCGTTCCGCAATGCATCATCCTGTAACTAACTCATTGGTCACACTGCTTGCAAGGCTTGTAGTGATGTGCATTACCGAGAGGGCCCAGAGATACCTCTCTGACAATCAGAGTGACAAATCGTATTCTTGATCTATGCCAACTCAATGAACACCATCGGAGACACCTGTTGAGCACCTTTATAATCACCCAATTACGTTGTGATGTTTGGTAGCACACAAAGTGTTTTTTCGGTAATCGGGAGTTGCATAATCTCATAGTCATAGGAACATGTATAAGTTATGAAAAAAGCAATAGCAGTAAACTAAACGATCAAGTGCTAAGCTAACGGAATGGGTCATGTCAATCACATCATTTTCCTAATGATGTGATCCCGTTAATCAAATGACAACTCATGTCTATGGTTAGGAAACTCAACCATCTTTGATCAACGAGCTAGTCAAGTAGAGGCATACTAGTGACACTATGTTTGTCTATGTATTCACACATGTATTATATTTTTGGTTAATACAATTCTAGCATGAATAATAAACATTTATCATGATATGAGGAAATAAATAATAACTTTATTATTACCTCTAGGGCATATTTCCTTCACGCCCGTCCGCCGGGTCGCCGTGAGCCGGCCTCCACATCCGCCATCCGCACCAACTCGCCCACCGGCTCCGCTGTCTGCCTCTGGCTCCGCCCGCTCAGCCTCCCTCGCCCGCGCGCCGGCTCCGCCCGCTCCGGCCGTGTCCGGCCTCCATTGTCCCCCGCGTCCGACCCCTTTCCGACCGCCCCAGCGTCTGGCCTCCTCGCCAGCTGGCCCGGCCGGCTCCTTCCCCACGCACCCGTCGGGTCGCCGCTGCAGCCCTTCGCCGTCTTCGCAGCCCGGCCGCGCGCCCGCTCTGCTCGCCCGCTGTAGGTGGTGGAAGGAGAGAGGAGAGAGAAAAGAGAGAAAGGAGAGGAGAGAAGAGAGAGAGGGGAGAAAGAGGGGCTGCAAATGGGCCTGTGCATGCAGAAGTTGAATGCCGGCGTTCCCAGCTGCTCCCCAGGGGGCTGGGTGTGGGGTGGGCGTGCCGGCCGTAAATAACGCCGAATCCGACGCAAAACGATGTCTTGGGTGCCTGGCTGGAACTTTTTTTACCGCCGATGCTAAAAAAAGGTGCTTGGGTGGTGTCCTGGGGGCCCTAGTGGAGATGCTCTTAGCTTCCAAACAACAGGAATATAGACATGTTGGACTCCCCTAAAATTCATAACATGATACAGTGCGCTAGTTGAGTAGTGTCCATTGCTTTCTGGCTGCCAGATTAAAGATTCTATTTCTTAGACAAAGTAATACTTTTAGCTATTTCTAATAATTGGACCAAAGTTTCATAAGCCAATCATCATAGTTCCTTCTAAAAGTAAGCTTGAGCTGGTTACCGTCACAAATGCCAGCTCTAACTTTGAAAGACTCATTCGCTCTTATATCTCTTTACGGTATATCAATAGGCTAGAATTGCACAACCAGCATGGAGGTACCATACCAGGTGTCATCCCAAAGCCTAACCTTGGCTAAGGTGGGCTCCTCTTCTTCTAAGCTCCCGTTCACCTTTTCCTCCATGGTGCCCAAGTGCCGCCACGAGGCGCTTTCCTCGCTTCCACCTTCTTCTCCTCCGCTTTCCACGTCGTACGATCTCCAGCGGCAGCGGCGACTCTTCCTCGGACCCATGCGGAGCCTCCCAAAATGCGGCCTCCAGTATCATGTCCCAGATGGGGATACCACTGACGGCCATCCGCCCCTTGCTAACCCATTTCCACGACGTTATATCAGGAAGAAAGGCAGAGCCACTAAGCCAGATAACCTTGGAGGTCATCTTCGGACACACACGGAATTCTTTTCCCTCTGATCGAACCCTTGAAGTTTAGAATGTGCTCCACCTCCCTGTACATTTCCTCTTGGATGCTCATGGTCATCGTCATCTCGGCATCTTCGTCCGACTATGACAAATCAAAGAATTCCTTTTGCATTAATTCATCATGCTCCTTGTATCCATACTCCTCATCCATTAATTTATCATGCTCCTTGTTTCCATACTCCTCATCCGACGAACTATTTGAATCCATCACTTTGCCTACAAAAGAATAAAAAATATTGCTCGGGTAATTTATTGAACACATAGAGGGCAAAGAATAGCCAAACGTACTGCCATGGCGAGAATGGCCGGCAGGAATTTTTTGGCGATGGTGGCGCTACCGAGGGGTCGGGATAGCGGCGGGACTAGGGGATGGCCGGCGCGGAAAAGGGAGAAGAGAGGAAAGAAAAGGGGCTGGTCGGACAAGGTCGGGAGGTGGGGCGAATTTTATGGAATTAGTAGTGAGTCATGTTTGTCGGATCCAACATGGTGACACACCCGGGAGCGTCCGGGCCTCCCATATTCAACTTAGATATGGAATGAATATGGGATGCCGGTCAGCTCGAATGTATAGAGCCAGTTTAAGAAGTCTGGCTGGGTCATCATTATGTGACCGACCACTGACTGAGTTGTCCGCCAGGACGTAGTATAAGGGGTGACACCCGGCCGTATAGATGCTCTATAACAGGGGGTGTCACTCTGTTCTCAAAAAGGAAAAACGTGACGCGGAGGGAGGGCTAGAGGGCAGAGGCTGACACGGAGTGGATTGGACGAGAACGAGACCGATATTCTGACCGGCGAACGACGCCTCGACGGCGGATTCCTCTCGCACGGGAATTCGTCGACTGCCCATGTCCCCCGTTCGTCGGCGCACCGCAGGGTCACTTCCATCGCTATCCCGATTCGCCGCGATCCACGACGCCTTGCGCAGGACACGGCGTCGGCACCGGCACCGTCGTCGGCAGCGGAAACTTCATAGTCCTGCAAAAATACATATGTTCTGTTCTCTGATGCATCTCGATTCTTCTCTTTTAGACCAAAATCGATCTCACTGCGCCCTAATCGCCAGTTCAGCTTGAAAGTCCTAAATACCGCAAAAAAAAAAAACTAGGCTAGTACGAAGGGTGGCTCCTCTAATAATGTGTTTTTTTCCGTCAAAAATCCTAGATAATCAATTTCAGCAAATTTCAGATTATTGGAGTAGTTTCTGACTATTTCAGCTTCTATGCACCATCTTTTGACCTTTCATATCTGGTTCGTGAGGATTCATAATTCTCTCTTGCAAAATTTGAGTCCCATGAGCAAAACTGAGACATACTTGAGAACTCTGATGTATTGCAGGTGGTGGCCAAAGGCATCATCCACTGAAACAAATGGCGCAACCTGGGAGCGAGGTGAAGGTACCCAAAATATGAGACAAGAACTTGGTTTGGAGGAACTCCCAGAGGTATGTGTTGCTGGCAATGAACTATCCTAGTTACAAAGGATTTTGTTTTTAATCACAACGGCTAGTGCAGGAACACGATCCATCTCGACATAGGACTTCGGCGATGAATCCGCAACTGCTAGTATTATTCATTGCAGTCAACTAGGAGTTCTAGCTACAAGCTAACGTTGAACTTGTGAACATCGGTTCTGCAGGACATCTTGCATCATATACATTTTCTCATGCCAATACAAGACGCTGCTCGTGCCGCCTGCGTGTCCCGTGGATTTCTGCACTCCTGGAGACACTATTCCAACCTCATACTCAGTGACCGTACGCTTGGTTTGCTTGGCAGAACATTTGAGGAAACGAAAACCCATCTCACTTATAAAGTCGACAAAATTCTTACAAACCATTATCACAATGGGGTGAAGGTGAAGACACTTAAACTTAGTCTTGGCCCCTGCAAAGATATCAAAGCCTCCTACCTCGACAGGTGGCTCCGGATCATTAAACCTGGGATTCAAGAATTTAGCTTGGTGTTGTCTTCGGTCATGAATAAAAGCTACAGTTTCCCGTGTTCGGTTTTATCGAACGAGGCCGCTGCAAGTTCAATTCAGTCTCTTAGCCTCCTTGGTTGCGCTTTTCATCCCACGTCAATACTTGGGTGCTTGAGAAGATTGAAATGTTTAAGTCTGTGTTATGTCCACGTTACTGAGGATGGATTAGCGCACTTGCTCTCTAAATCTTCCGTCCTGGAGTGGCTAGAGATTGAAGCATGTAGTGGGATAGTTTGCTTGAAAATACCTTGTACGCTGCAGCAGCTCAAATTCCTCAGTGTTCAAAAATGCAAGATGGTGCAGTTGGTAGAGATAGATGCTCCACAGCTTTGCTCTTTTCACTATGGCGGGATACCGGACGCCGATCATTATGGCAGGACACCGGCCATCTATGTCCAAAATTCTTCGCATCTTAAGACTGTAGATATTTCACCTGTCAGCCTGTCTGGTATTCTCTCTTATGCTCGCTTTAGCCTTCCGTCTATCGCGCAAAATGTTGAGAGCCTCACCCTGCACGGTCGTAGTGAGGTATGTGTTGGTTTTAATGTCTCAACGGGACCATTCAAGAATGTGTATGTATGTACGTAAGACTTAGACTTGTATGTTGCAATAAAACATGATTAATCTTGGGATTTATTTTTCAGAATGCCAACATTCCGATGCTGCCGTCCAAGCTCCCCCACGTCAAGAACTTGGAAATTTCACTCCTTAAACCCTTCTTTTCCCCAAACTATGATGTCCTCTCTCTGGTTTCTTTTCTTGATGCTTCTCCTGCCTTGGAATCTTTCATCCTACGTGTAAGTCACTATGTACATCCCTCACAGCTATCTATGCTACTATTAATGTACAATTACACTTTGTTATCAGAAGAATATTATTTGAGCCTGCATATGTATCTGCAGGTAGAGCAGCACGCCATAATCCATGATCCTGTTGTTGGAGACGACACTGAATACCGGAGGCAGAATCTGGAGTGCCGGAATAACAGCCTGAGGAAGGTATTGATCACAGGCTTCTGTTCTGCCAAGAGCATGGTTGGGCTCACAGTTCACATCCTCGAGAGAACACATTCACTAGAGCGCTTCACGCTGGACACAACCTATGGCTACGATAGGAGGACTTGTAACATTGGCAAATTCCCAACCGCGAGAATGATTTGCCAATGCTGGTCGTTGAGCAAGAGAGGTCTCGAGGAAGCTCATAGAGCCGTGGAGACAGCGGATAGATACATCAAGGGAAGAGTTCCCTCGTCCGTTCAATTCGAGGTTCTGGGCCCTGTAGTCGATGTCATATTGGGAAGTAGGTAGCAGTGGATCAATGACGCGGTGGTTAATATTTCTCCGTCCGGGTAAATAAATATTGTTAAATTGTGATCCAAATTCTAGTACCGTATTGGACTAGACGTAGTCCATACGGTGTGGGCTTTTTGCGTTGGTATCGACGCGTATGAGTACAACTCGTTTACTTATCCTACAAGGACTCCTATGTGTTGCCCCTCATATATACCTCATGTAGTCGCACCTCAGACGGTCTGTCGTCTCGTGTTTGTAATACTCCTCCTCATAGTAATTGCGCCTTCGTGCATTTTCTCCCGCAAGGGTTTCCACGTAAAAATCCGTATCTCTTTGTCTCGTTTATTTCTCGTTATTATCTAACAAGTGGTATCAGAGCTGAGGTTTCATATACGAGATTAGAGATCGAGAGAATTAGGGTTGCGCGCGCCGCCGTCGCCGTGTGACCAGGCGTTCTGAGGCAGGATCGATTTCCGCCTGCTGCTAGGCTGTACGATGCCGAGACCGACAGGAGTCCATACGCGTTCATATCAGCAAGGGAGCAGCCGCTCTTTCCGATCAACCGAGCCGTTGCTTCAAGTCCCGGGGACATCACCTGTGGTGCTGCTGCTCCCGATCGTGACGTGAAGACAGAAGCCAAGTACTACTACTAGTACTCACTTTTTTCAAAATTGATCACGTGAAGACCAATCCATCGTTAGTACTACTTCTAGTACGTGAGCTCTAATCAGCACACGTTTTGATCCATCAAGTACTAACATCCGGCTGCTACATCCACCGAACAAGCCACCAGGTGCTACTGTTCCTTGCTCCGTTTGCTCCGCATATTAAATTCTGTCAAGAATTATTCTACTCCGACTTGTACTATTTTATGCACAGATTTGTTCGACTCATGGCATCCATGAAATACGATTTTCCGCTGCTGGATCGTGACACAAGGTTTACCCTATGGCAAGTCAAGATGCGGGCGTTGTTGGCACAGGCCGACTATGATGTAGAAAACTGGATAGTTTTGGGAAGAACCGAATTGAGGACTGGACTGCTGAGGAGAAAAAAATTGATTGTAAGGTTTTGTCACAAATTCAACTCCATTTGCATAATAATTTTTTGCAGGAAGTTTTGAGCGAGAAAACTGCCGCCGCTCTATGGTTAAAGCTGGAAGGGATTTGCATGACTAAAGATCTCACCAGCAAGATGCATCTGAAGCAAAAATTATTCCTGCATAGGTTACCCGAGGGAGGTAATGTTTTGAATCATATTTCAGAATTTAAGGAGATTATATCTGATCTAGCTGCAATGGAGGTTAAGTATGAAGAGGAAGATACTGCTTTAATGTTACTTTGTTCACTGCCAAGTTCTTATACCAATTTTAGAGACACCATATTATACAGTCGTGATACTCTCACACTTAATGAAGTTTATGAAGCTTTGAACTCTAAGGAGAAGATGAAATTAATGGTGCCTCATGATGGTTCGAGTTCATCCCAAGCCGAGGGATTATCTGTTCGTGGCAGGACAAAGGAAAAGAACTCCAATAATGGAAACAGAGGCAAAAGTAAGAACGGCTACAGGGGCCGGTCGCAATCCAGAGACAAGAAGTATTGCAGGTATTGCAAAAGAGACGGGCATGACATCTCTGAGTGTTTCAAGTTGCAGAACAAGGAAAAGAGGAAAGGTAACAAACAAGGTGAAAACTCTGCTAACGTTGCTCGTGATGATAGTTCCGATGATGCTCTTCTCGTTATTGCTGGATGTGCTGAGACCAATGATGAGTGGATACTTGATACTACATGCACTTTACATATGTGTTCACATAGAGATTGGTTTAATACTTTTGATTCCACTACTTCTGTTGGTTCCGTTTTGGGTTTTGATAATTCACCATGCAAGATTGAAGGCATAGGTTCTATTCGAATCAAGATGTTTGATGGCATAATCAGAACTTTGACAGATGTTCGGTATATTCCGAAGATGAAGAGAAATCTTATTTCTATGAGTGCCCTTAATGCAAAGGGGTACAAATATTCAGGTGGAGATAGTGTTTTGAAGGTCACCAAAGGCTCCCTTGTTGTGATGAAAGGTGACTTAAGTTCGACCAATGGTCTTTATTACCTTCGAGGTTCTACCGTTTCAGGTAACGCTACTCCAGTTGTTTCAAAGAATTCTGATTGTGATGCTGCTAACCTTTGGCATATGCGTCTTGGACATATGAGTGAACTTGGTTTAGCAGAGTTAAATAAGAGAGGTCTTCTTGATGGATATGAACCTGGTAAATTGAAATTTTATGAGCATTGTATCTTCGGCAAGCACAAGAGGGTGAAGTTCAATACTTTGACTCATACAACCGAAGGTATTCTTGATTATGTGCATTCTGATTTATGGGGACCATCTCGCAGAAAGTCATTAGGTGGTGCTAGTTACATGCTAACTATTATTGATGATTATTCGAGAAAAGTTTGGCCTTATTTCTTGAAGCATAAATATGAAGCATTCTCAGCATTTAAGGAGTGGAAGATTATGATTGAAAGACAGACTGAAAAGAAGGTAAAGATACTTCACACTGATAATGGTATGGAATTCTGTTCTAAGCAATTTAAGAATTATTGCAAGTCTGAAGGCATTGTCAGACACTACACCGTTCCTTATACTCCTCAACAAAATGGTGTTGCTGAGCGTATGAACATGACCATTATTTCCAGAGCCCGTTGCATGTTGTCCAATGCAGGTTTGCATAGGCGTTTTTGGGCTGAGGCCGCTTCCACTGCTTGTTATCTCATTAACCGTTCACCATCTATTGCTCTTAATAAGAAAACTCCCATTGAGGTATGGTCTGGTTCACCTGCTGATTATTCATAGTTGAGAGTTTTTGGTTGCACTGCTTATGCTCATGTTGATAATGGAAAGTTGGAGCCTAGGGCTATTAAGTGCATCTTTCTTGGTTATAAGTCTGGTGTTAAAGGTTTTAAATTGTGGAATCCTGAAACCCAGAAGGTTGTTATTAGCAGAAATGTTATCTTTAATGAATCTGCTATGTTACATGATGTTTCATCTACTAATATTCTCGTTGAGAGTGAACATCAGCCTATTGTTCAGGAGCCTACTGTTCAGGTGGAGCATGTTATTGATAAAGGTGATACATCTGGTAATGAAATTGTTGATGCACATGATGAACCCGTCGTTAATGATGATAATGTCACCCCCACTCCAAATCAGCCTATTGTTCCACCCAATTGGAATCTCGCACGTGACAGAGTCAGGCGGGGTATTAATAAACCTGACAGGTTAATTGAAGAGTGCAATATTGTTTCTTTTGCTTTATCTGTTGCAGAAGAAATTGAAGGTAATGCTGAGCCTTCTTCATATTCCGAGGCTATTATTTCTAGTGATAGTAATAAGTGGATGACCGCTATGCATGATGAGATGGAATCACTTGAAAAGAATGGCACTTGGGATTTAGTAAGATTACCTAGAGAGAAGAAACCTATTCGTTGCAAGTGGGTTTTCAAGAGGAAAGAAGGTGTTTCTCCTAATGATGAGACAAGATATAAAGCAAGGTTAGTTGCTAAAGGTTACAGTCAGATTCCAGGTATTGACTATAACGAAGTCTTTTCTCCTGTTGTGAAGCATAGCTCTATTCGCACTTTACTCAGTATTGTTGCCATGCATGATCTTGAGCTTGAACAATTGGATGTTAAAACTGCATTCTTACATGGAGAATTAGAAGAGGATATTTATATGGAACAACCTGAAGGTTTTGTTATTCCTGGAAAAGAAAAGCTTGTCTGTAAGTTAAAGAAATCTCTTTATGGATTGAAGCAATCCCCTAGAAAGTGGTACAAGAGATTTGACACCTTTATGCTGTTTCAAGGTTTCAAAAGGTCTAATTATGATAGTTGTGTTTATTTGAAAATTGTCAAAGGTTCAACTATTTATTTGCTCCTTTATGTTGATGATATGCTTATTGCTGCAAAGAGTATGTCAGAGATTAATGAACTAAAGAAGCAATTGAGTAATGAATTTGAGATGAAGGATTTGGGTGCAGCAAAGAAAATACTTGGCATGGAAATATCCAGAGATAGACCGTCTGGAAAAGTATATCTAAGTCAGAAGGGATATATTGATAAAGTTCTTCGTCGTTTTAATATGCATAATGCCAAGCCAGTAAGTACTCCGTTAGCTGCACACTTCAAATTATCATCAGCTTTATGTCCTAAGTCAGATGCCGATATTAAGTACATGTCTAGAGTTCCCTATTCAAGTGCAGTTGGTTCACTTATGTATGCCATGGTTTGTTCTCGTCCGAATTTATCATATGCATTGAGTGTTGTTAGTAGATACATGGCTAATCCTGGAAAGGAACATTGGAAAGCAGTTTAGTGGATTTTCAGATACCTGCGAGGTACTTCTAATGCTTATTTATAGTTTGGGAAAACTAGAGATGGACTTGTTGGTTTTGTTGATTCTGATTTTGCTGGTGATTTGTGTTGGAAATATGCCCTAGAGGCAATAATAAATTAGTTATTATTATTATATTTCATTGTTCATGATAATCATTTATTATCCATGCTATAATTGTATTGATAGGAAACTCAGATACATGTGTGGATACATAGACAACACCATGTCCATAGTAAGCCTCTAGTTGACTAGCTCGTTGATCCATAGATGGTTACGGTTTCCTGACCATGGACATTGGATGTCATTGATAATGGGATCACATCATTAGGAGAATGATGTGATGGACAAGACCCAATCCTAAGCCTAGCACAAAGATCGTGTAGTTCGTATGCTAAAGCTTTTCTAATGTCAAGTATCATTTCCTTAGACCATGAGATTGTGCAACTCCCGGATACCGTAGGAGTGCTTTGGGTGTGCCAAACGTCACAACGTAACTGGGCGGCTATAAAGGTACACTACAGGTATCTCCGAAAGTGTCTGTTGGGTTGGCACGAATTGAGACTGGGATTTGTCACTCCGTGTAAACGGAGAGGTATCTCTGGGCCCACTCGGTAGGA